AGTTAGGTTGGGTTTGGTTAGATTATATTTATTAGATTAATGCAGAAAAGGTATGAATGAGAATGAATGTCTTCAAAATACAAGAGATATATTTGACTGGTTTCGATTTGCTAAGGTATGGTTAGATTAGGTTTTAGTTGTTAGCTTAGGGTAGGGTAGGTTAAGTAACTTAATACTTATTGTCAATGATATTTGGTTAACACTTTTGGGGGGGGGGGGAACATAAGCAGAAAGTGTAATATGTAGTCAGCATAGAAAACACAGTGTCCGATTATAAAAAAATTATAATCAATGATCAAGTTGATTGGAAAATAGTCTAGAATGATAACATGTAATTACTGATCGTGTCTTTTGGGTGAGTATGTCTCGTTAAATTACAGATAACCTACTCTATAAACTAAAAAAGAAAAAAAAAAGTGTTTATGACGATCCTACACAAAATTCATTTTTCAAAGAATTAAAAATTCAAATTTCTAAATGTTTAGTGTTTCCTTATATCTAACCTCGTATCCAGAGGGTATTTTCCAAAGGTCCTAAAACGAATACTGCTAGATGTCTTTTGTTTCCTTGTACCTATCACAACCTAACCTACCGTAAATCTTCGCAAACCTAACTCAAAACCTATAATCTAACTTTGTGATTCTAACTAAATATAACCTTATGATTCTAACTAAATATAACCTTATGATTTTAATATATTCTAACCATCCTATGCTAAGCGTAACTTAAATTTAACCTAAACCAACATTTACTCAACCTAAAATAACGATTTCTAACCTTACAATTCTAAGCTAATCACTCTAACCTAAATGTAACATAAACTGAGTTAAACCATACCTAATCTAACCTAAACCTGACCTAACCCAACCTATCTAACCTAACCTAACCTAAAATAACGATTTTACCCTAATTTAACATTCATAAACTTTCCTAACCTTACGATTTTACTCCAAATATTCTATCCTATACTAAACCTGAAATAACCTAACCCTTCTCTAACCTAAGCTAAACCTAACCTAACCCATCCTATATCTAACCTAAAATAACGATTTTACTCTAACTTAACAATTGTAACCTAACTATTCTAAACTAAACGCAACCTGAACTACCCTAATCCATACCTAACCTAACCTAAACGTGACTTAACCTAATCTACACCTAACCTAACCAAATCTAAACATTATCTAACCCAACCTAAAGCTGATCTAACCTAACTTATCTAACCTAACCTAACTAACCGAACCTAATTTAAACTAACCTAACCCTAAGATTCTACCCTAACTAAACTTTTCTACCCTAAACCTTATCTAACCTAAAATATCTAATTTATATGTAACTTAACCTAATAAATCTAACATAACCTATCCTCAAGAATATATCCTAACGTAACAATTCTAAAACTTAACCTATCCATTCGATTCTAACCTAAACTTAACTGTTCTAAGGTAACCAAACCTTGTGGTTCTAACTAACCTAACCATTTGAACCTACAAGTAAACCAACCTAACTCAGACCTAATTAAGCCTAACATAAGTATTCTAACCTAAATTAACATAATGTATATATATATATACATAGTGAGAGAGAGAGCAGGAGAAGAGAGAGAGAGAGACAGAGGAAGAGAGAAAGGCAGGGAGATGAAAAATATATATATACATATACATAGAGAGAGAGAGAGAAGAAAAGAGAAGAAGAGAGAAGAGAGAGTGGGAGGGGGAGCGAGAGTAGAAGAGAGAGAAAAAGATGCGAGAAAGGTTGAGAGAGAATAAGAGAGAAGGGAGGAGAGAGGAAAGAGAGGGGGGGTGGGAGAGAAAGGAAGAGAGAGAGATGACTTGAGTTAAGCCATCTATGCGTAAAAGGCCAACCTCTGCAATACTTTCTTCACGGATCACCATAACTACGCATGTGTAGAAATATGAACTCAATACTTGGTGATGTTTAATTATGTCTAATTCAGTTTCGGTTAATCTGAATGCTATTTACCCACATTTGATCAGCTGAGCGAGAGAAAGCATATTTTGTTGTTTCAACTCGAGGGTGGCTCTTAGAACTTCCTAGAAGGGAAAATAAACATATATGTATAGATAGATATTTCTTTTTACATATTTTTATTTTATTTTAGCTTTATTTGGTATGGTGCTTATTAATTTCTAAGATATTTTACTATCATTTTATTGCTAAAAATAACTATAATATTAATTGTAGAAAAGAAAGACCAATACTGGGGGCAGTCATAATTACAATAAGAACTATCTATCGTTATTCTTATCTTTGTTAAATCCCCGGGACAGAGATGACGTGAGGTCCCGCTTTCCTACTTAAGACTTTCCATTCCCTCTTAGCATGGTCTGTCTTGATGTTGGGAGGTTTTTCCACATTAACCGTTTCCCAAACATTAACAATATTCGCCAAGAAATCTTTCATCGCGTTTCAGCCACGTGCTTAGCTTGGATGCGGAAAGACTTTCATGTTTTTTTGGTCATGAATCCACTTCGTAACT